CAATGATCCTGGTCCTTTACTACAGCCTGAGGTTTTTGATCAACTTTTCGCTCTTCTCTATCCTGTGACTTAAGCTCTTTTCTATTTGTATTTTGTGATCTTTCACTTTGTCTTTCTAGTTTTTTGTCACTTTGAGATTCTATTCGAGTGTGTGGTCTTTCTCTAGGGTTCTCTTTCTCCTCCCAAGAAGAGCTAATGCGTTCACTTTTACCGTTGGAATCTGAGTTACTTTTAAACTTTGAATTTTTGCTTTCAGCCTTTGGCTCACCTTTACTGTATTTCTCAGGATGTCCTTGTAGCCTCTGACTAGCCTCTGTATTCCTTTGTTCACTATCTCCACAGCTAGTAACTAAGTCTTTTCGTATTCTGTCAGTTCCTCTGCTATACTGGCTGTGTCTGGTATCTTTTCTCCCTCTTCTATTATCCTCATTGGAGCTACCCTCACCAACCTGATAATGGGAACGTGGCCAAATGCCATTGGTGCAGTGTTTCTCGGCAGATGTAGGCAAATGTGAAGTGCTCTTTTTTTCAGAATGTGATTTTCCTTCCTTTCCCAGGATTGGCAGTGAAGTGCTATAATGTGCATCTTTAGGAGCATCATTTTTGACTCTGTTATCAGTCTTTGAACAATCATCCAAATGAGGAGATCTAGATTTTAAATCTTTTGTTTTAACTGTATCTGATGTCCTTGAGATTTTATGATTATTTCGAAAATGTGGAAACTCAGACAATCTATTGAGAAATAGAATAACAAAAACAAAGTTAATTGAAATTTAATAGTACTCCAAATTTTATTCATATATGTAATTTGTGATTAAGAATTTACCAGTTTCTAGCTGGTTTTCAAAACAAAGAGCTCTCTCTCTTGCTTTGTTCAAAGGAGTTTTGAGGACCTGTCAGATCTCTATCTCAGCACTTGCCAGTGTCTTTTAGTCTTGTTTTACCCCAGGTACCCAGCTCCCAAACTAACCACAAGTTCACTTCTTTTAGAACAAATGACATTATTTTTCCTGCCCTCATTCACTCTAGTCCAACTAAACCAGAGGGAAAAGTGAAAACTTGCTGGAACAGACATGACCAAAGTAGAATTCTATGTAATTCCCTATCCTAGTTTTCTGTTTCACATGTAATCCCATAGTAAGCCAAAGCATCAACAGCCATCTTAAAGTATTATAAAATGAAATACAGGCCGGGCTCAGTGGCTCAGCCTGTAATCCCACGCCTTTGGGAGGCTGAGGTGAGTGGATTGCCTGAGCCCGCGGGTTTGAGACCCACCTGGGCAACTTGCCGAGACCTCATCTCTACAATAAATCAAAAAATTAGCCGGGTGTGGTAGCGCGCGCCTGTAGTTCCAGCTACTTGGAAGGCTGAAGCAGAAGGATCGCCAGAGCCCAGCAGGTCAAGGCTGCGGTGGCCGGGAGCGGCCACTGCACTCCAGTCTGGGTGACAGAGTGAGACTCCAACTCAAAAAAAAATTAAATAAATAAAATAAAATAAAATGAAATACAGAGTTGTGATTCTTTCCTAGGAGAACAGTATATACTTACTGTTAAAAAAAACTGGTAGGTTTCTAGCAATAAATAAAATACAGAAAACTCATTTTTGCTTTTTATATTAAGTTCATCTTCCTGAACTTCCATAATTTCCCTGAATTTTCATAAGTCTATTCCTAATCTGTATTAGATGTGTAGGAAAACCCAAAACTTAAAAAAACAGAAATATAGGAAGATTATTATAAAAGATGATCTAGGAGACATGCCACCTAAAGCAAGATGCAGCTCTTCTATGGATCCTCTGATGGGTTGAACTGTGTCCTCCCCCTCCACCAAATCCATGATCTGAAGTCCTAACCCACCGTACTTCAGAATATGATATTACTGGAGACAAGGTCTTTACAGAGGTAATCAAGTTAAAGTAAGGACATAAAAGTGGATCTTAATCCAATATAACTGGTGCCCTTATAAAAAGGGGAAATTTGGACACAGAGACACACATAGAAGGAAGATGACACAAAGAAACATAGGGGCTGGGCACAGTGGCTCATGCCTGTAATCCCAGCACTTTGGGAGACTGAGGTGAAAGGATCACTTGATGCTAGGAGTTCAAGATTAGCCTGTACAACAAAGACCCCAGTCTCAAACAATATTTTTTTTTAATTAGCTAGGCATGGTGGCGTGCACCTGTAGTCCCAGCTACTCAGGAGGATGAGGCAAGGTGGTCACTTGAGTCCAGGGCTTTGAGGTTAAAGTAAGCTACGATCCCACCACTGCACTCCAGTCCAGGCAACAAATCAAGACCCTATCTCTCAAGATTAATAAATCAACCAACCAGTAAGAAAGGTAGGAAAAAGACAACTAGCTACAAGCAAAGAAGAAAGGCCTGAAACAGATCCTTCCCTTAGAGCCCTCAGATAAAACTAACTCTGCTGTGGCACCTTGATTTTAGACTTCTAGCCTTCAGAATTGTGAGACAAATTTCCATTGTTTAGGACACCCAATTTGTGGTACTTTAGTTATAGTAACCCTAGGAAACAAATACAGATACTGACTCAATCAATCAACCACTAGACAATACCTTTGAGACCACTGGGGATATGTGAACTAACCATTAAAAAAAAAAAAAAATCTGATTAATTTTGCTAAAATTAAGCTGAGCACAATGGCTCACACCTATAATCCTAGCACTTTGGGAGGCTGAGATAAGACAACTGCTTGAGCCCAGAAGTTCAAGACCAGCCTGGGCAACTAGGCAAGACCTCGTCTCCACAAAAAATAAAATTAGCCGGGCATGGTGGCACACACCTGTGACTCCAGCCACTTGGAATGCTGAGGAGGAAGGATAGCCTGAGCTTAGCAAATTGAGACTGCAGTGGCCATGAGGGTGCCCTGCTACACTCCAGCCCGGGTGACAGAGACTCCAACTCAAAAAAACCAAAAAAAATCCAATGAGGTAAAGTCCATCATTTACTCACCCAGTTTCTCTTTCCACCTGTACAAACATCATGCCCCTTTCCTAAATAAGACTCAAATATATATATAAAATTTCCCCAACAATTCAGAAGCCAGTATACTAGCTGCACTGCAGGCAATTAGGATAGTAACTGTACACAACTGTCTTTATTTTGAAAAGACCTAAGTGAAGCCTTACTCTATAACGCCAAGTGGTGCACACCATGGGACTGCCTGCATTCACTCTTCCATCACTTATTGAGTATCTACCATGTACAAGGCACTGTCTTAGGGGCTTGAAAAAATGGTGAGGACACAGACGTGGTCTCTGCTCCATGAAGCTTAGTCTAGCAGAACAGAAAGATACTAATCAAGAAATCCTGGTCGGGCTTGGTGGCTCAGCCTGTAATCCCAGCACTCTGGGAGGCCGAGGCGAGCAGACCGCCTGAGACCAGCCCGGGCAACTTGGTGAGATGTCACTACAATAAATCAAAAATTAGCCGGATGTGGTAGTGTGCGCCTGGAGCTCCAGCTACTTGAAAGGCTGAGGCAGAAGGATCGCTGGAGCCCAGCAGGTCAAGGCTGTGGTGGCCATGAGCGTGCCACTGCACTCTAGCCTGGAGCAGAGTGAGACTCCAACTCAAAATTGAAAAAAAGAAAAAAAGAAATCCTTTCACAATTTGAAAAACTGTAACTGTACAAGAAGATACAAATTTAGGGGGAAAAGACAAGCATCCCCTGTGAAAAAGATGGTTAAGTTGAGACCTAAGGATGAACAGGTATTCAGGTAAAGAACAGTCAAGAACTAAAAGTCCAGAGCTATACCAGTGCTGTGACACCTAGGGCAAAGGTAAGCATTGAGGACAGTCTTGAGAATTAATTTGGGACAATACTGTGAAGAGCCTTCTGAGTCAAGTTAAGATTATAATCTTTTATCATATGAAAAAGGAGACAGCATAGATGTATTTCAATCAAGGGTGGAGAAATAGGGTGATTTTTGTTATAGCAAGATGTCCAGACTTGTGTTTCAGAAAACATCGCGGGGTTGCAATACTGAGAAAAAAAAAAACCAGAGACTAGAGAGAACAAGAGTGGGAGCAGAGATACAGCACAAAGACCATTTCCAATTTAGATGAGATGGCAGTGATAGCAGAAATAAAGAGATGCAGGTAGCTCATGCCTATAATCCTAGCACTTTGAGAAGCTGAGGAAAGAGGACTGCTTGAGCCCAAGAGTTTTGAGGCCAGACTGGCAACACAGTGAGATGCTGTCTCTACCAAGAATTAAAAAAGAAAAAAATGGCCGGGTGCAGTGGCTCACAACTATAATCCCAGCAATTTGGGAGGCCGAGACAAAAGGATTGCCTGAGCCCGCAGGTTCGAGACCAGCCTGGGCAACTTGGTGAGACTTCATCTCTACAATAAATCAATAAGAAAAAAAAGGGGAATGAAGGCAAGTAAATTACTTGAGAAACCATAAAGACATAAAAACAAACAGAACATGGTAATGAACTAGATCTGGGGGAAGACTGAAACTTAAACAACAGCTAGGCTCGGTGGCTCAGCCTGTAATCCCAGCACTTTGGGAGGCAAGTGGATTGCCTGAGCCCGCAGGTTTGAGACCAGCCCGAGTAACTTGGCGAGAACTTGTCTCTATTAGAAAAAAAGAATGTTAAGCAAAAAGCCCAGGCAATATACCGAGACCATGTATCTACAAAAAATATGAGCACAGATGCCCTCTTGACATTTTTTTAATTTTCTGGGGACCCAGAGAAACCAATGACTTACATGCTACCATCTTCTCAGGGGCAAACAGTACCAGAGCAAGATACCAGTGTTTTAGGAAACTGAATATAGTCAGAGGTATATAGTAACGTTTTATTAATAATCATATACCTATCATTATGATAAAACACCACTACAATATCTTCCCTACTTATAGTAAAGCCTTAAATATTGAATAACACGTGATTTTCATCTTTCCACTCAAAGTTAAAAACATTCCACATACCAACATCATTTAATTTATAACAGTTTCACCCCTCAGTTATACCTTTGGTGGAGATTGTTTATTTCTTCATCCTTGCGGTTTATTTCCACTCTGGCAGTTTTGATAAGTGCTGAAATATTCTTCTTAAGAGACTGGTTTTCATTTTTTAAACTGAAATTCTAAAATATCACAAAATATACTAATAAAGTACATATCTACAGGATTACTAACATAAGCTAATAATTACTGAATGCTAACTACATGCAAGCATCACACACTTTATCTTGTATAATCCTTAAACCCTATGGGAAGTACTATTATTCCCACTACATAGAAGGTGAGATTCAGAGAAGACATAGTACCAGAAAAAACTCACTTACAATGAAACTACTTAAAATAGGAATCAAAATAAAAAAAACTATAAACAGCAGGAAAAAAAATTGCTCGGATCATTATCTTGAAAATGGAAAACAGGCTGGGCTCGGTGGTTCAGCCTGTAATCCCAGCACTATGGGAGGCCAAGACAAGTGGATTGCCTGAGCCTGCGGGTTCGAGACCAGCCTGGGCAACTTGGCGAGACCTTGTCTCTACAATAAATCAAAAAATTAGCCAGACATGGTAGCACGCGCCTGTAGTTCCAGCTACTCGGAAGGCTGAGGAGGAAGGATCGCCGGAGCCCAGCAGGTAGATGCTGCAGTGGCCAGAAAGTGCTACTGTACTCCAGCCTGGGCAACAGAGTGAGACTCCAACTCAAAAAGAAAAAGAAAAAGAAAATGGAAAATAATTATGAGGTTAGGTATGGTGGCTGAAGTCTGTAATTCTAGTACTTTGAGAGGCGAAGGCAGGAGGATCACTTGAGGCCACAAGACCAACCTGGGCAACACAGTGAGCACCATCTCTTCAAAAAGTAAAAAAATTACCTGGCATGGTGACCTGCACCTGTAGTCCCAGCTACATAGGAGGCTCAGGTGGGAGGATGGCTTGAGAGAGCTGGAGGCTACAGTGAGCCACTACACTCCAGCCTGACAAAAGAGCAAGATCATCTCAAAAAAAAAAAAAAGGAAAGAAAAATGGTAAAAACTGTATTAAATATAACAACTAGTTTAAACTTGAAAAAGGGTATTACTTATCAGAAAACAAAAGAATCTAGAGTTGACTGGTTCTTTCAGGAGAAATTTGGGAAAGGAAGATAAACAATTTCACCAAAAAGTAAAAACCAGAACAGGACACAATATTCCTGATTTTTGCAGCACAATCACAGAAAGGGTCATTCTGGTAAAAACTGTGAAGACATCACTACTTTTCCCCTAAAAGTTATCCATTCATTCGAGTTTGAGTCTCACTCTGTCACCCAGGCTGGAGTGCAGTGGCATGCTCACAGCCACCAGTCCCAACCTGCTGCACTCAGGCGATCCTTCTGCCTCAGTCTTACAAGAAGCTAGAATCACAGGTATACAATACCATGCCTGCCTAACTTTTTGATTTTATTGTCAGACAAGGTCTCACCAAGTTGCCCAGGCTGGTCTCAAACTGCTGGGTTCAGGCAATCCTCTTGCTCCTCTCTTCTCCACTTCCCAAAGTGCTGGAATTACAAGCATAAGCCACTGTGCATGGCCAAAAGTCATTTTTCTTTTTTGTGGAGTTGGAGTCTCATTCTGTCGCCCAAGCTGGAGTGCAGTGGCAAGCTGCTCATGGCCACCTCAGCCTTGTCCTGCTGGGCTCCAGCGATCCTTCCGCCTCAGCCTTCCAAGTAGCCAGAACTACAGGTGTGCACCAACACACATGGCTAATTTTTTTATTTATTGTAGAGCCACCACACCTGGCCCAAAAGTCATTTTAAATCTATATCTTTGCTCCTCAAAACCATTATCTTTTAATCCATTTGTCATCATCTCTATAAATTTTCTATTACTTAACTATTAATTGGTCTAACATCTTTTGCGTCAATGTCATTTACCAAATCAGTTTTCCTCTATCAATTTCATCAACTCAGGAAATAATGAAATATTTCAGGAAATAATTTGCCAGATTTGCTACTTTATTTAATACTAGATGAAAACTTCCTGGCTGGGTGTATGCCTATAGTTCCAGCTACTTGGAAGGCTGAGGTTCCAGAGAGATCACCTGAGCTCAGCAGGTCGAGGCCGTGGTGGCCAAGAGCATGACACTGCACTCCAGCCTGAACGACTGAGTGTGACTCCAACTCAAAGAAAAAAAAAAGAGGCCAGGTTCTATGGCTCAGCCTGTAATCTCAGCATTTTGGGAGGCCGAGGCGAGTGGATTGCCTAAGCCCATGGGTTTGAGACCAGCCCGGGCAACTTGGTAAGACCTCGTCTCTACAGTAAATAAAAAAGTAGCTGGGTGTGGTAGCACGCGTCTGTAGTTCCAACTAAAGATCTCCGGAGCCCAGCATGTTGATGCTGGGGTGGCCATAAGTATGCCACTACACTGCAGCCTGGGCGATAAAGACTCCAATTCAAAAAAAAAAAAGAAAGAAAAAAGAAAATTTCCTCATAAATTGCCAATACTTTAACATTTTAACTTATTATTGTTATTTTTTGTTTAAATTGGGATCTCACTCTGTTGTCAAGGCTGGAGTGCAGTGTTATGATCACAGCTAACTGCATCCTCAACCTCCTGGGCTCAGGTGATCCTTCCGCACCAGCCTCCTGAGTAGCTGGAACTATAGGTGTGCGTCACCATGCCCGGGTAATTTTTAAACTTTTTTTGTAGAGACAAGGTCTCACTATGTTGTCTAGGCTGGCCTTAAACTCCTGGGCTCAAGCAGTCCTCTCACCTTGACCTCCCAAAGTGCTAGGATTATAGATGTGAGCTAGCAGCCTTAACTTCTAACAACATTTTTTAGTTTTGATTTAAAATTAATGAAGCACTGGACATAGTGGTTCACGCCTGTAATCCCAGCACCTTGGGAGGCAGAGGCGAAAGGATTGCCTAAGCCCAGAAGTTTGAGACCAGCCTGGGCAACTTGGTGAGACCTCGTCTCTACAATAAATCAAAAAAATTATCCAGGTGTGGTGGCACACACCTGTGGTTCCAGCTATTTAGAAGGTTGAGGCAGAAGGATCGTGTGAGCCCAGCAGGTGGAGCCTGCGGTGGCCATGAGCATGCCATTGCACTCCAGTTGAGCAACAGAGTGAGAACTCAACTCAAAAAAATTTAAAAATAAATTAAATTAAAACAAAACTATTCATTATAATCCTACCTGTGTCTGTATTTCCTTAAACTTTTTCATCAGCTCTTTAATTTGCAGCTGGCATTTTCCATATTCTACCTGTAACTAAAATATAAAAAGGACTAATTCAACCATCATCTAAATTATTTTCTTAGCTTAAATGACATCTCAAAATATTTTAAAATTTGAATATCAAACCACTAAGAAGGGTACATGATATCTACTTCTCCTAAGAAGTAGTTAGTAAGATTACAGGTTTTTCAAGTCTAGCCTACCAATAACGTGCTGTGTTTAGTTTCATTCAACCTCTAAACCTTAAAATTCAAAGGCAGTAGAAACAACATAAATCTTGAAACATTTTATGCAACATACAACATAAGAGTACAAATCAAAAAAAGAAAAAAGTGTTATAACATCGATTGCCTCTGGAGGTTTTATATATTCAGACACTTAAATTTAGTCAAACAAAAGTGTGACTAATTTAGACAAGCATTCAGAAAACATTCCTTTAAAAAGCAGGTCTGAGCTGGGCTCGGTGGCTCAGCCTGTAATCCCGCACCTTTGGGAGGCTGAGGTGAGTGGATTGCCTGAGCCCGTGGATTCAAGACCCGCTTGGGCAGCGAGACCTCATTTCTACAATAAATCAAAAAATCTGCCAGGTGTGGCAGCGCATGTCTGTAATTCTGGTTACTTGGAAGGCTGAGGCGGAAGGATCCCTGGAGCCCAGCGGGTCGAGGTTGTGGTGGCTGGAGCGGCCACTCCACTCCAGAGTCTGGGCAACGGAGCGAGACTCCAACTCAAAAAAAAAAGCAGGTCTGAAGGCAGAAATTGACTTAAATATTCTTTTAGCCTAAGAGCTAGTTCCTCAACACAGAATACTTGCTGAATAGACGGCTCTTCAGAAGCTACAAAACGGTCAATAACTGTCCTTAATAATTATGGCAAACCATACATCATTATATGTTGCCTCCTTTGCAGTTCCTTCTTCAGTCAGGATTTCTTCATATAAATCCAAACAATTTCTTGATGGCGCACAGGACTTGGAACCACTGTCTAAAAACAAATAAGCAAACAAAAACAAAAACCCTTACATTAAAATACTTGTTACACCCTTTGATGTGGTGTCTACTTCTCCACCTCCCATACTGCACTTCTCTCACAGCCCACATGTATAATGATTTCAGACAGCTAGAATATCAGTTTACTTAAAAGAGCTGTGTCAACAAGTCAGGTGTGAAGATCATAACAGTTCAAAACTTTGAAAGGTTTGGGCTCAGCACAGTGGATCATGGCTGTAATCCTAGCACTTTGGGAAGCTCAGGTGGGAGGACTACTTGAGCCCAGGAGTTTCAGACTAGCCTAGGCAACATAGTGAGACCTCTACAAAAATAAAAAAAAATTAGTCAGGTATGGTAGTGTGCGCCTGTAGTTCCAGCTACTTGGAAGGCTGAGGTGGAAGGATTGCCGGAGCCCAGCAGATCAAGGCTGTGGTGGCTGGGAGCGGCCACTGCTCTCCAGTCTGGGCGACAGTGAGACTCCAACCAAAAACAAAAAAAACAAAAAACTTTGAGAGATCTGATTATGGGAAAGTTTTCTAATTCAGATAGGTCATTATGTTCTCTGCATATCATGTCTACTGATACATTTGAAAATGTTTATAGTAACTACACTTTTTAAATGCTCTTAAAGTCATGTAACATATGACAGATGAATAATAATATATAAACAGACATCAACACTAGTTGCATTTCAAAGGTAGAAAATACTTTTGCACCAGGCCCAATTAAAGATCTCGATAAAGCCGGGCTTGGTGGCTCAGCCTATAATCCCACACTTTGGGAGGCTGAGGTGAGTGGATTGCCTGAGCCCGCGGGTTCGAGACCTGCCTGGGCAACTTGGTGAGACCTCATCTCTACAATAAATCAAAAACTAGCAGGGTATGGTAGCACATGCCTGTAGTTCCAGCTACTTGGAAGGCTGAGGTGGAAGGATCACCAGAGCCCAGCAGGCTGAGGCTGCGGTGGCTGGGAGCGGCCACTGCACTCCAATCTGGGCGACAGAGTGAGACTTCGACTCAAAAAAAAAAAAGATCTAGATGAATAACAAACGTGTGTGGCAATTCATTGTACTGATCCAGTTTGGGGCAAGAAAAAGAATTACCTGAGTGTAATTTCAAAGAACAGACAAATAGTTTAGAAACCTCAGTTAGACCAAGAATGGGTAACAAAACAACAAACTGACCAAAAAAATTGGAACTGTTTTATGAAATTTACATACCAGAAACAGCACTGTCCAACCCTGCATATATGTCCAGGGAGCCTTCATCATTATTTTTAAGAGGAGAAGCTGCAAGAAAAAGCAAAGACTGGTTAAAACTGACATTATGAGCAGGGCACTCACACCTGTAACTGCAACACTTTGGGAGGCGAGAGGATTGCCTGAGTCCAGAGGTTCGAGGCCATCCTGGGCAACTAAGACCCTGTCTCTACAATAAATCAAAAAAATTAGCTGGGCATGGTGGTACAGGCCTGTAGTTCCAGCTACTTGGAAGGCTTGCAGCAGAAGGATCACCTAAGTCCACAGATCGAGGCTGCAGTGGCCGTGAGCGTGCCACTGCACTTCAGCCTGGGTGATACGAGTGAGACTCCAATTCAAAAAACAAAAAATTTCATTTTCAAAAATATATTAGTAAGCAGGTTTCAATTCCAACAATAGCAAAGTAATTTCTATCAGACCAATAATCCTGCCGGTAGCCACTATAAATGCTAAACAAAACACTTGAAACTATCTGAAGAGTTCTGGAGAAATTCAACAGGCGAAAACCAAAGGAAAGACAACATCTGAAAGAAGGGAGCACTGCATGAGTTCCCTATAACTTTTATTACTGCTTCTGGTTGAAGAACTGGCCCTAGGTGGGGCCACACTGGGCAGTGACGACCCAGATGGAAACCCGCAGTCCTAAAAGCTTGACAAGTCAGAGAAAAAGCTTTTAAGTGACAATAGCAACTAAAATCTGAGAGAATTCCAGGAATCCACTAAGGTGATGACCCCAAATTCTGCCAAACTCCCTGGGTGATCCCCCAAGAAAGGGCCGAACTCCAAAAAAGCCACTTAAAGCTAAATTATCTGAACAGATATCTCAGTTGCTATCTATTACAGGGGAGACAGAGTGCAAATTCAGCTAAATTAAATACCTGCTGCTGGGCACAGTGGTTTAAGCCTGTAATTCCAGCACTTTGGGAGGTGAAGGCAAGAGGATTGCCTCAGCTCAGGGGTTCAAGACCAGCCTGAACAATATGACGAGACCTCATCTCTATAGTAAATTTTTAAAAAAAATTAGCCAGGCATGGTGGCATATGCCTGTGGCTCCAGCTACTTGGAAGGCAGAGGCAGGACGATTACCTGAAGCCCAGTAGGTCGAGGCTGTGGTGGCCATGAGTATGCCACTACACTCCAGCCTGGGTGACAGAGTGAGAGTCTATCTCAAAAAAATAAATACCTGCTAAAGAGCAACACTCTTCAGAGGAATATAGTAGAATCCAGTGTCTCTATAAGATATCATTTACAGTATAAAAAATGAAATCCAAAATTACTACACAGAAAATCTTGGCGGAGGGCTGGGCACGGTGATTCACACCTATAATCCCAGCACTTCAGGAAGCCAGGAGAATGAATGAAGCCAAGAGTTTGAGGCCAGTCTGGGCAACACAGCAAGACTCCATGGATTCTACAAGAAAAAAATTGTGTATAACTTAGCTAGGCATGGTGGCGTGTGCCTATAGTCCCAGCCACTGGGAGGTTGAGGTGCAGGATTCCTTGAGCCTAAGAGATCAAAGCTGCAATAAGCAGTAATCATGCCCCTGCACTCCAGTCTGGGTGAAAGAACAAGAACCTGTCTCAAAAAATAAAACCTCAGGTTGGACGCAGTGGCTTAAGCCTGTAATCCCAGCACTTTGGGAGGCCAAGGTAAGAGAATTGCCTGAGTTCCTAGGTTCGAAACCAGCCTGGGCAACTTGGTGAAACCTCAGCTCTACAATAAATCAAAATATTAACTGGGTATGGTATCACGCGCCTGGAGTTCCAAGCTACTTGGAAGACTGAGGAGGAAGGATCACCTGAGCCCAGTCAGTCAAGGCTGTGGTGGCCGTGAGTATGCCACTGCTATCTGGTCTGGGTGATGGAGTGAGACTCTTATGCCAAAAAAAAAAAAAACATAAGCCGGGCTTGGTGGCGCAGCCTGTAATCCAACGCTTTGGGAGGTTGAGGTGAGTGGATTGCCTGAACCTGCGGGTTCGAGACCCACGTAGGCAACTTGGTGAGACCTCATCTCTATAATAAATCAAAAAATTAGCTGGGCGTGGCAGTGTGCGCCTGTAGTTCCAGTTACTTGGAAGGCTGAGGCGGAAGGATCGCCGGAGCCCAGTAGGTCGAGGCTGCAGTGGCCGGGAGCGGACACTGCACTCCAGTCTGGGCGACAGAGTGAGACTTCAACTCAAAAATAATAATAATAATAATAATAATAATAAGTCATCTACTATTGACTAGCCAAAAAAATATATATGTACGGACAAGGACTTGACAATCATACATAAAAATGAAAACAGCTGTATCCAGCAGCTGAAGTTAGCAATGTAGCTTTTTCCTTGAAAAAAATTTTTTTTTTTTTTTTTTTT